GAACATCAAACGACCACGCAGGCCCCTCCCCAACCCCACCCTCCCAGGCTCCACCCCCCAAAATATTCTTAGAGGGAGCCTTGGTTGCCAGCCTCCGGGTTGTGGCGGGAGCTCCCTTAGGATTACAGCGGATCTCCAGGTGACAGAGATCAGTTCCCTTACAGGAAAGGGCCCCTTTGGCTGCATGTATTCTGTGCCATTACACCCCGGACTTAGGGCCTTGGCTGAGCCTCAGCCCCCTGCTTAAACCTGTTACTTTAGTTCTGTAGTAATTACCCTCTACAGTTCACTCTTGGTTCTTTTTCCCAGGAGACTTCGGGATTCCACTGCTGCTGTGGCCTTTTGGTACCGAGAACCCTGTGCATGGTCTCTGCCTTGGAGGGTGTTTATACATTCCAGGAAACAGTGATGCCACTCTCAGAGTCTTAAGAGTTTAAACAAATTTAGAATCCAGTGGCACCTTTAAGACCAACAAAGGTTTATTCAAGGTATGGGCTTTCGTGTGCGTGCAATATGGTAAAATATATATGGTAAAAGAATCCAGGCATAGGCAAAGCGAAGTCCAACAATCATATCCTCGATGAGCACACTGGTTTTTACACTCATTTCAACTATCTTCCTCATGAGTAAGACTCTTATAAAGTTGGAAGATGTCAACCTCTTGATTCAGCTTAGTTTCTTTTTTAAAACAGTATAGCTTCTTATTTGTTTTCTTCTTAGTCAAATTCTCTTTCAGTTCCATTGCAAGTACTTGAATAGGAGCAAGCCAATTACTAAATTTCTAGTCGTAGCAACCAGTCCAAATTTTTTTTGTGGCATTTGCTTTCTGACTCACATTGTTGGCTAGTAGCTCTCTATTAGGGAGTAGCATTTCAGTATTCTTATCTATCTGCTCATAGAATTATTAAATGTGTCATTGTTAATTTTACCACAGTAGTTTTTGGTCTGGAGGCAATGAGTAAAGCAAAGTAATTCTGCAGATACCAGCAACTGGCCGTGTGTTGATAGCATCTTATTCCAGTTATTTCACATGGGGTGGTGATGTGTGAGGACGGAAGGGGCGAGAAACCGGGGTGCCACCATACACCTCTTGCTAGATAGTTTGAAACTATCTCAAAACAGTCTAGAACAACTGAAACAAAAATAATGCTCAGCTAAAAGCAAAACCAAAGTGCTCCCAAACCATCTGTTGGAGGAACTTCGCCTGCTCTTTAGCTCCAAACTCCGGGCTGAGGAGTTGTGACGTGGAGCCCTTTGGGAAGGCTGGTGAGGTAGTTGCAGCACCTGACTGCTGACGGAAGATTGTTCCTCAGTCCCGGCACAATCATTGTCAAGGTCCTGCTTCTGGCAGCTGCTGTTTTTGACTCCGGGAATACTGCTGGAATGTTGAGCAGGGTCTGCTTGAAGGAATGCAGCTGGGTCCTGGCTCGTGGCCGCCTCTCATGCTGGGGACAGACTGGCACAGAAGCCTCCTTTCAAGAAACAGCCCGTAGTTAATTAAGTACTGTCAGGTTACAGTCAACCCTCGTGGGGTTTCCAAGGCAAGATATGGGCAGAGGTGGTTATCCATGGCCTGCCTCTGTATAGCAACCCTGGACTTCCTCGGTGGTCTCCCATCCAAGTACTAACCGGGGCGACCCTGCCTAGCTTCTGAAACTGACAGGATCGGGCTATCCTGAGCCATCCAGACCAAGGCAAGAGATGTTCAGAGGTAGTTTGCCAATGTCTGCCTCTGCACAGCAATCCTGGACTTCCCTGCCGACCGTGTTTAGTTTCCAAGGTCTGAGGAGACTGGGTTAGTCTAGGCCAGGGCAGGGTGTCAAACATGTGGCCCGGGGGCCAGATCAGGCCCCCTGGAGGAGGGCTTCTGTCAGGCCCGCAGTGGAACTGGCTGTCTTCTGCTGCTGCTTCCAGTTCTGTTGCTGCTGTGTCATCGTAGGTTTGCAGCTTACAGATGCACACCTGAGCAGCATACTCAAGATTGCAACAGTACAGACATTTTGATGCAATAATTCAGAGCAAGAGGTGTCAGTTAGCAGACACCGTTAAATAAGCAAAATATTGCAAGAGTGCTGATGTTTTAAGCATGTTTTTATTTTAAGTTAAAAAAAAACCCTTGGTGTTTTTTGTCCTTTACAAAGTTTATCTCTCCGCTCCTTGGCAGTACATTTTATGACACACACGGCCCGGCTGAACAAGGTCTCCCTTATGTCAGATCCGGCCCTCATAACAAATGAGTTCAACACCCCTGGTCTAGGCTATTCAGGCTGCTAACAACCAGTACTGTCAATGAAAAGAACTAGCTTGACTCTTTCGATGCAATTGCCTTCTATGTAAAAAACCCAAGCAGGGATCTTCTGCCTGACCACCTCTGGCAACAACTGTATAGCGGAGGGGGGAGGACTGAATTGGGCAGCTGCCTGGCCGCCAACAGTGTCGGGAAACGTGAGGCCCCAGCCTTTTGGGTTTGTTTGTGCAGTTCCTGGTAGACTGCTGCTTGCTTTGTAGATCAAACACAGCAATCGATCCCTGAAGAAAGCAAAATGAAAACAAATACCCTCACAGGGCCTCTTCCCTTCATGATAGAGAAGAGATTGGATTTCTACCCTGCCCTTCACTACCCAAGGGAGTCTCAGAGTGGCTTACAAACTCCTTTCCCTCCCCCTCCCCACAACAGACACCCTGTGAGGCAGGTGGGGCTGAGAGAGCTCTGGCTCTTTTTCAAGGACAGCTCTTATCAGAACTACGGCTTGCCCAAGGTCATCCAGCCAGGTGCGAGTGGAGGAAGTGGGGAATCTGACCCGGTTCTCCCAGATTAGAGTCCACGGACTCAACCACAACACCAAACTGGTGACGGCCAGGAGCAAAGCAGAGTGCCTTTTCTGAGTGATGCCTGATCTCCCTCTTATGTGCCCGGCCCTCTCTGCTGCTTAGCCAGGCTGAAAGTGTTGGGTCTGTTTAGCCTGGGAAAGAGAAGGCTTAGAGGGGACACGATTGCCATCTTCACGTATCTGAAGGGCTGTCATGTAGAAGATGGAGCGGATCTATTATCTCGTGCTCCAGATTGCAAGACTAGATCTAATGGGTGGAAATTACAAGGGAGGATACCGGCTCAGAGTGGTTGAGTAGTGGAGCAGTCTGCCTCGGGAGGTGGTGGAGGCTCCTTCGCTGGATGTTTCCAAGCGGAGGCTGGACGACCCTCTTTTGGGTATGCTGTAGGGCTCTCTTTCGGCTATGCGCCTGCAGAGTGCAGGGGGTTGGACTAGATGACCTGCAAGGCCCCTTCCAAGTCTAACAGTCTATGATTCTATGATTCATTCAGAAAGTCCCAGGTTCAATCCCTGGCAGTGTCTCCCGTTAAAAAAGCACCAGGCAGGAAGCGATGTGGAAGACCTCCGCCTGAGACCCTGGAGAGCGGCTGCCAGTCTGAGCAGACAACACTGCCTTTGATGGACCGAGGGTCTAGTTCAGTCGAAGGCAGCTTCGTGAGAGGGGCTGCGGCTCAGAGGTGGAGCCTCTGCTTGGCACGCAGAAGGTCCCAGGTTCAGTTTCAGGCATCTCCAGTTAAAGGAAGCCCAGGCAGTCGGTGAGGGGAAAGACCTTGGCCTCAGACAACCCACATAAGAACATAAGAGATGCCAATGTTGGATCAGGCCAAAGGCCCATCCAGTCCAACACTCTGTGTCACACAGTGGCCAGAAATACCAGTGCCATCAGGAGGTCCACCAGTGGGGCCAGGACATTAGAAGCCCTCCCACTGTTGACCCCCCCAAGCACCAAGAAGACAGAGCATCACTTGCCCCAGAGCCCCTATCTATACCCTGTCGCTAATAGCCACTGATGGACCTCTGCTCCATATGCTTATCTAATTCCCTTTTGAAGCCGTCCATGCTTGTAGCCGCCACCACTTCCTGTGGCAGTGAATTCCATGTGTTAATCGCTCTTTGGGTGAAGAAGTACTTCCTTTTATCTGTTCTAACCCGACCGCTCAGCAATTTCATGGAGTGCCCACGAGTTCTTGTATTGTGAGAAAGGGAGAAAAAACCCGGAGAGCTGCTGCCAGTCCGAGTAGACAAGACTGACCCTGACGGATTGATAATGTATTTGAATAGAAGGCGGCTTCCTGTGTTCCTGCTCCCCCTGGCCACTAGCCCCCACCACTCCTGTAATGTATCCAGTCCAGAAAAGTCCAGAGACAAACGTCGAGCTTCGCTCCAAGAGACAATGGACTATGCGGATCCTAGCCCGCTCCAATCAGGGGGCTAGGTTCCTGGCTGAGAGCCTACGGGACTCTCAGCCACTGTAAATAACATATTGGGGAGTAGGGGTGTGTTTTGGGTGGCAGTTTCTCGGGGGACATAAGCTGGCCTGTGAGCTGGCCAAAGTTGTCTTGTTCCGGATAGAATAAAGTACGCTTTCCTGAAATCACTCTCCGTCTGCGTACGTTTCAACTCCACTACCTCTCCAATGGCGGTGTGTTGAGTGATGCCCGGCCACTACCCCCCACCGACTGCCCTTCGCTTGTCCTCTCCCCCTCTGCCGCCCCGGGCATCAGTCAACACACCACCATTGGAGAGGGCAGAGGGCGAGGGGAGGGCGGCTGGCTGGCTGGGGCATGTCCTGGGGGAAGGAGTTAATGAGTGACCAAGATCGGCAGAGGGGAGTCTGCCCGGGGCTGGTCTCGGGAGCAGATCGCGGGGCAGAGAGGAGGATGAAGCGGCTGCTGGTACTCTGCGGGGGCCTTCTGGCCTTGGCCGGCGTGGCCCCCGTGCCCCTGCAGAACAGGGCGCTGGAGATGGTGCTGGACGAGTTCCACAACAAAACCCACGTCCACTTCGTCTTTAAGCAGCAAGCCGTGGTTGAGAGCGTGGAAACGGTGAGCGCACCACCGGGGGGGTGGGGTCATATCAAAATCCTTCCTGACAGAAGCACCTTGGCCCAGGTGGGCTTGTCAGCCTCCAGGTGGGTCTAGTAGCAGTACTATGTACTGAATGTTATTGCTTACTGAATGTAATGAATATTTATACCTAGGATGAAATAATGACACACTATGCACTTTACTAAATGATTATCATAAATAGAACACATTAGTTTGTTAAAAGGTTTTTGCAGTGTACAGGGGTCATTTCATAGAAAAAGAGCTGCAGGAGCTCATTGGCATAACTTTTTAGCATATGCCACACCCCCTGACATCACCGGAAGTGTGCACCAGCCCCTCTGACAGGCAGAAGCACCTGGGATCCATTCTTTCCCCCCTCTCCCTTCCCTTCACCTCCAAGTCGGGCAAAGGAAAAGGGGAGGAGGAGGATCTCAGGCGCTTCTGCCTGACAGAGGTGCTGGCGTGCCCACAGCCAGCCTGGGTGAATTATAGAATCATAGACTCATAGAGTGGGAAGGGACCTCCAGGGTCATCTAGTCCAACCCCCTGAACAATGCAGGAAATTCACCAATACCCCCCCACACCCCAAGTGACCCCTGTTCCACGCCCAGAATATGATTAAAAAAAAAACCCTCCAGGATCACTGGGGGGCAAACTGGCCTGGAGAAAAACTGCTTCCTGACCCCAAAGTGGCGATCAGCATTGCCCTGGGCGTGTCAGAAAGGGCCACAAGAACTAAGCACTGAGGCAACCCTTCCTGCTCTACCTCTCGTGATTTGCCTAAGTTCACACAATCAGCATTATGATCCTTTTAAAGTTGAAAGCATGATATAAATGCAAAGGACTGCTACAGAAGAAAGGGTGCCTGGTAAGGCTTCTCACCTCCCTACTTACATGTGGCCCAAGATTAGGACTGTGCTCATTAATTAGAATTGTAAGCCGCTCAGAGCCCCGGGGTGGGGTGGGGGGTGAGCGGGATAGGAAATCGAATTAAATAAATAAATAAATAAATATTTGTAAGATTATCTGTAAGACACAAGACCAGGAACG